CTACTAAAATATGCGATATATGAATGTTCATGCATACCTCAAATCAATAATGATCGAGTTGTAATATAATGTTGATATACTTGATTTACTACTAAAATATGCGATATATGAATGTTCATGCATACCTCAAATCAATAATGATCGAGCTGTAATATAATGTTGATATACTTGATTTACTACTAAGATATATGATATATGGATGTTTATGCATATCTCAAATCAATGATGAACGAGGTGTAATATAACGATATATACTTGATTTACTGCTAAAAATATGTGATATAAATGTCTATGAATACCTCAAATCAATGATTTTGGCGGGAGGTGTAATATAAGGTTGATATCCTTGATTTACTACCAAATGTATGTTGTATTGATGCTAATACATTAATATTATACCTAAATAGTTATTGAACGAATGTTACGTTGAGACGATGATACAAACACGAAAATGATCAAAAAATGTAGATAATAGTACAAAGAATATTGACGTGGATAATGTATGTCAAATAGACAACCAAAACCTTCACAAAAAACTTTATGTCGTACATGCAGTTGCAATCTCGAACATGTATGTTGAGATTCATTAAAATCTTACGTGAAATAATTAAGGGGAAGATCATGAGTATATAACTAAGAAGATAGTGTCTAACTCGACCAAAAAAAAAAAATTTTTTTTTTTTTTTTTTTTTTTGAAGGTCCCACCTTCCCTGGTTCTAGGAAGGATACGAATATTCGCCACATTTGGGTTGGAAAAAGCAATCAGGTATCTCCGGTTTGGGTTACCTGTATTATGGCGGCGGGTGACGGTTACAACAGTTATGCTGATGTCAGCACGATATCGTCAGCTCTAAATCACATTCTTAAGCAAATAAACAAAATAAATCCTTTCTTTTACCGATCTATTTATTTATTTGTTTCTATTTCCGAATTTTTTATTCCTAATTTTCAAACTTTCCAGTCATCCCTCACTGCACGCTTTATTACTTTTCTTTTTCTTTTATAAATATTATTATTCCTCTTTTAGAAAAATTACATTCTCTGCGTTCACACCACAAAATTTGTTTCATAAATAATATTTTAATGTTACTAAACCCACCTAATTATTGATTTGTTGTTCATCACTTCCGACCCGCCGCTTTCCGCAAATATTGACCATCGTCATTCATACTGCTACATCCCTTGTTTTTGCAATTTCCTTCAGCTTTCCCCCATATACGCTCCCTTCTGACATAGCCACCACCTCTGTCACCGACGGCCGATCGTTTGCAGGAAGTGGTGTTGAAGGTAAACTAAACCCAGAAACAGGGGATGGGGATAATGTTTGAAATTGAAACATAAAGATTTGTAAATTCCTTCAGTCAAAACCTTTTCCCCTTCCCAATCGCATAAGAATTTGTAACTCTCATCGTACAAAACAGAGCTGTGCTCATCGTGCAAAACAGAGCATTTCTCATCGTGCAAAACAGAGCATTTCTCATCGTGCAAAACAGAGCATTTCTCATCGTGCAAAACAGAGCATTTCTCATCGTACAAAACAGAGCCGTTCTCATCGTACGAAACAGAGCTTACAACAGAAGCAGATAATTGATCAGTTGTGAATAAGTGATTTGGGTCTAGTAACCACAAATAAACAGTTCACCCACTACCGTTTGGTGTGGAAGTTTTGCTAATCCAAAGCACAGTGACGGAGTCTGGGGATTCTGGCACTAATGGCGCTTTCCCAGTGCCACAACTTCGATTCTCTATATTCCTTAGAATTTCTAGAGCTTCCATCATTGACGGCCTTGTATCCCTCGCACTTTGCAGGCATTGAAATGCTAACTCGGCAACTCCGCATATCATATTTCGTATTCTTTGATCTGTTTTAAATCCGAGAGATGGGTCTACGAAGTCATGTAATTCGTCGTTCTGGATCTTATTGATAGCCATTGTTGACAGGTTAATCTCATGCCTATGCCTAGTGATATCAACTGCAGGCTTTGAAGATATCAGCTCAACCAACACGACTCCAAAGCTAAACACGTCGCTTTTGTTCGTAAGTTGATAAGACTCATAATACTCTGGATCAATATAGCCAGGAGTGCCTTGTGGTGCAGTTGAAACATGGCTGGCTTGTGTAGGAAAAAGGCGACATAGTCCGAAATCAGCGACTTTAACACCGAAATTGTTGTCAAGGAGAATGTTGGTGGTTTTAACATCACGGTGGATAGTCTCAGAAGCATGGAGAAAAGACAGAGCACTTGCAGTCTCTATGGCAACATTCAACCTTGTAAGCCATGGAAGCTCACCTGATCTTGCTCGGTTGCCATGAAGATGATCGGCCACAGTACCATTCGGAATGAACTCATACACCAACAAGAGCTCACGGGAGCGTCGAGATGTGCATCCATAAAGGGTGACGAGATGTGGGTGGCGCAAACGAGTGAGCATCTCAACTTCATTCATGAATTGCTCAACTTTTCTATAGTTATTTTCAAACAATCGTTTAACAGCGACCTCACGCCCATCTCGGAGTTTGCCTGAAGAGGGATCAAAGAACATACAAACACATAATCAGAACAATACGCCTGCATGGAACACCAGAAATATGGAGTGATTTGTACCATAGTAGACAGTGCCAAAGCCACCATCTCCAAGTTCGTTTGCTGGGTTGAATTTGTCTGTAGCTTTTACAAGTTCGTGATAAGAGAAAAGAGATAGAGCCATGTAATGTTCTATTTTCTCAAGCTCCTTCATCGGACGATCACAAGAATAGTTTTGATGCTTCTTTTTGTGCATACGAAGCCTGATGAAAAAGATTATACTCATCATCACAATGCCTCCAATACCAGAGCCAGCACCTGTCATGGCATTCCATTTGGATACCAAGTTCAACACAAGAACATTATACGTAAATCATGTTATGTCAAAATGGTATGATACCCACAAGATGGATCGCACTCATCCACCCACAAATAAAAATTAAACAAAGAGACACAAAGATTTAAATCATGTTATTTCAAACTTCTATGAATTAATAACCCGAATAAATGAGAATATGAACGAAATGGGAGTTAGATTTTACCTATGACGACCTTCTTCCATGTATCATTTGGGTTTTCTGGAACAGTAAGCAATCAGGAAGCAAATGGTTAGACGGGATTGCTCTACAAGAGAATGAGGAAAAAAACACACTAAAAAACAGAACATTACAGAAGGGGAATGCGACGTACCAGGGTGAGGAGGGCGAGGAGGCGCAGCAGTGGCATCACAGGCATAAGGATTTGCAACGCCGTTTCTACAAATGCAGTAAAATGGGTACGTCCCATTTCCGCCGCAATTGCCTCCACTTCCATTGCATGAATCACACGCTCCCTTATACCAATTCTCGTACTCCACCTCGAACCCTCCTTTCACAGCCGTCTCCACCAAGCTCCTCCTGTTCTTTACACCTTCCTTCAACCCCTTTATCGTAACCATCACTTCTATCTTCATTTCACACTCCACAAGCTTTGAATAAACCGCCGCCGACGGTTCAAAAGCATAGTTCACTCTCCCGCGCCTTTCCCACTCCCCACCGCAAGAAAAATTGTATTCCGAAATGGGAAATTCGTTATCCGTCGAGCAATTATACCCCACCGAGATGTTCTGATTTCTGGCAGAATACACAAACGGATGGTGATCCATAGACGCCACTTGGATTTGATTTCGTGGGCAGTAATTATCGAAGAGGTCTGATCTTGCGATCCTCATTGTATTATTCAATTGGTTGATTTCCAGAACGTTGTATTCCAGAGAATTGATGTAAGTTGTGGTGGTTCGGTTGTTATTGCAGTTGAGTTTGAATTCTTTCCGCCCGCAAGAACTCTGCCTCTCGTTCCCCCAAAAGGGGTACGTGATGTTTACCAATTCTTCACAATTGTAATTCACACCGCAATCTTTGAATGCATCGAGGGCGTTGTCGCTGAAGCATGGCGACAGATGAAACGTGAAGAAGAAGAAGAAGAAGAAGAAGAAGAAGAAGGATTTCATTTTGTTGGGGTTGTGAACAGAGAAAGGATAAATGGAAGAGAACAGAGAGGGAGACTCAGTTTGATTATGAACACATATGAAGTTATCCATGAAGAGTGATTTTTGGAAGAAACAGGGGACTCACTGTCTGCCATAGCTTTCGGGAAATAAATCAAAAAGTGGCAGTCTTCTGTCTGTCTCTCTCGAGAACTCCAGCTAAGTAAGTTGTTTAAACAACAATTTGTTCATCCAAAGTTGAATGAGTCAAATGTTTTGTTTGAACAGTCATTTATGAGAGAAATTGATGGGGAGACCTGCGGAGACTTTGAACTTTTCCAGCCGGTAAGGATTAATAATAAATGAAGAGGAGGATTTGTGAGAATTTTCGGTTTGGTTTGGTTTGGTTCCTTACGGCACTCGGGATCATAGAGATGTAAGAAACCGTTTGTCAACTTCGGTCTATTACGTATTGTTGTTAGCCTCACAGTTTTAAAACGTATATGTTACGAAGAGGTTTCAACACTCTTATAAGGGATGTTTCGTTCTTCTTTTTAACCGACGTGAGATCTCATAATCCACTCTTTTGGGGGTCCATCGTCCACACCGCTCCGTGTCTAGGTTTGATATTATTTGTAATGGCTGAAGCCTACTGCTAGTAGATATTGTCTGTTTTGGCTTGTTATGTATAACCGTCAAACTCAGTTTTAAAATTAGTCTCTATTATTGAGACCAACATATTGACTTAGGCTATCTGGACTATGCTCGTGTACTTCTTCTATTTTAATGTACAAATAGGTAGAATAGCAACAAGCATCACCATTCTAGCATGTATATTTGTGTTCATCCTCATTATCCACGTGGGATCTCAAAATTCACTCCCCTTCGAGGCCCAACGTCCTTATTGGCACATCGTCTCGTGTCCACCCACCTTCAAGGCTCAACCTCCTTGTTGGCACACCACCTGGTGTCTGGCTCTGATGCCATTTATAACGGCTCAAGCCCACTACTAGTAGATATTGTCTTCTTTGAGCTTTTCCTTTCGAGCTTCTCCTTCAAATTTTTAAAACACATGCGCTAAGGAAAAGTTTCAATACCCTTACGAAGAATGGTTCTCTTCCTCAACCGACATGGAATCTCACACTGAATCCATTCCATTGTTATAAAAAAGATATTGAATTTGAGAGACGCTCATGTGCTGCTTCTGCTGGTGTATCAGACAAGCATTGGGAATTCAAAGACAGAAGGAAAAGCATCCCAATGAGCAATACAGTCACTAAAGTTAGTGCCATTAGTACGAGGTCGAAGAAGAAGAAGCAGCAACTTGGAGTAGATCAGCGGCAGGAGGTCCGAACAAGTCAGGTTTTGGTGGAATTTGTAAGCCATCAACACTGCCTTCCAACATCGAAACCGCATCGGTCATCGACGGTCTGTCGCCGGGCAATGTCTGAATACAACACAACCCCACAATGATCATTTTTCTTGCCATTTCTTCTTCTTCCTCTGTGTTTCCCCACCAACAGCCCCCATGAATTTCACTTTGTGTAAGATCCTTATATATCCAATCAGGAAAGTACTCATCGCTGCTCTGCTCCACTCCTTGATTGGGACTCTTTCTCTCACCCACCATCTCAAGAACCAACATCCCATAACTATAAACATCAGACTTATGAGAAACTTTGCCAAGATTCCTAAATATTATCTCTGGCGCTATGAACCCTATTGTCCCCTTTACACATGTCATCGACACATGACTCTCCTTGGCCCTGCATTGCTTGGCCAGCCCGAAATCAGTGATTTTGGGGCAGAAATCATCATCCAAGAGTATGTTGTGTGGCTTGATGTCGAAGTGCAAGATCCTTGTGTTGCAGCCACGGTGCAAGTACTCCAAGCCTCGTGCCACGCCGATGACAATATTGTAGAGTGTGTTCCAATCCAACTTCTCGCCCTTTTCTTGAATCCTGTTGCTGGAAATGTACTTATCTAGGGACCCTTTAGCCATATAATCATAAATCAAAGCTCTTTTGTTCCTCTCGTAGCAGAAACCTAAGAGTGTGGCTATATTTACATGGGAAGTTTTGGCGAAGCTAACAACTTCGTTCATAAATTCTTCGCCATTTGATTTGGATTCATTCAAAAGCTTCACAGCCACATCGCGGCCGTCGGGTAGCTTTCCTTTGTAGACAGAGCTAAACCCTCCTTGGCCAATCTTGTTGTTGAAAGAGCCTGTGATTTTCTTCAGCTTTGAGTAAGTATATCGCTTGGGTGTTTGCGTGGAATAGTTCCTTATAATTTCCTCAATTTTGTCGTTGTTTGAGATGCTTCTTCTCTTGTAGTAGATGGAGATGATGATAATAATATAGACAATGATGGTAGTTGCACCTGAAAAATGGGTTTGAATTCATATGATTAATAAAAAGAACCTTAAAATTTGATAGAGAACTCACTAATTTCAAACAAAATCAAACCTTATATGGAATTGTTTGTAAATTATTAAAACCCAATTAATAATATAATACATATATTCAAGGAGTAGGCTTTACCTATTATGTCTTTCGGTCCAGTATCTGATTGATCTAGATCTGCCACAGTATAAAAAATTCATCGGGTAAGTGATCAAAATTTTGAATCTTTCTGTTAGACGAGTAGGCTTTACCTATTATGTCTTTCGGTCCAGTATCGGATTGATCTAGATCTGCCACGGTATAAAAAATTCATCGGGTAAGTGATCAAAATTTTGAATCTTTCTGTTAGACGAACACGACTCTATGGTATGATATTCTCCACTTCAAACATAAGTTCTGGCTCCATTGATATTCTTTATTTATAAACCCAAAATCATCTAACACTTTCAACCTCAGTTAAACTCAAAATAAAAAGAACAAAAAAAAAATTTATCTTCATGTCCANTTTCGTTCTCTCTTCACCAATCGATGTGGAAGCATCTTCTATACCCATGTAAAGAATGTTTCGTTCTCTCTTCACCAATCAATCTGGGATCTTCTATACCTTTGTAAAGAACGTTTCGTTTATGACTCTCTACAATGGTATGATATTGTCCACTTCTATACCCTTGTAAAGAATGTTTCGTTCACGACTCTACACAATGGTATGATATCGTCCACTTTGAACATAAGCTCTCATGGCTTTGCTTTGGGCTTCCCAAAAGGTCTCGTACTAATGAAGATAATATTATTTGATTATGAACCCAGGATCATTCCTTAAATTAGCCGATGTGAGACTTTCATCATCCAACACTCACAAGTATAATGGTAGGTGAAGATCAAGATTTAAACTACTAATATTTCAATCGATGATTTGATCTCGAACCCAATTGAGATATATTTAAGTTTCATATCTTATTTTGTTAAATTATACTTGCTTCCAAATCTTATATTATGATTCTTGTTAATAGTAGTGTATTATTATTATTATTATATTACTATTATTATGGTGTGCAAGATTTGTTGACTTTATAGGGTCAAAACTAGAGATTTCTTCCTTCCACAACACGTGTAGCTGTTGACACGTTCCAACGATGGTAGCCTTAAGTTTTGACGGCGGGGCCCACTTTTTAGCCCCAATTTCACTGGCTAGCCAATGTCATCACGACTTTGACTAGTCAGTGCACTGACTTTTACACAACTATTGCCTATCAATTACCAACTTTCTCCCTCCCCTCAAACTCTCCCAATCTAAAATAAAAATAAATTAAAAATTATCGAACATATTCTTTATTAAAATGATACAAGAAAATTAATAGGAATAAAATTAAATTGATTTATTCAATTGAAATAAAATGTGAAATTGATCTTAATTGTTTATGCATTTTTACTCAAATTTACCATATAATTTAAACTTATATTTACCTAAATTATAATATTTGGAGAGTATTAAAAATTCAAATGAACAGAAGATTTGATGCAGGGGAAGACGAAATTATACGTACCAGGAGGAGGAGGAGACTTGCAAACGTAAGGATGGATGTCTCCATCGCTACAAATGCAGTAAAACTCATGGGTGGCGTTCCCTCCACACTTGCCGCCGTATACTTTGCACCCCTCGCACGCCACCGTGTAGAAATCCCCGTATTCCACATCAAACCCTCTTTTCACACCCTGCTCCACCGCCATCGTTCTGTTCTTGTGTGTTTCTTCGAATACCTCTTTTGTAATTGTCACTTCGATGTTCAGTCTACACTCGCTCATGTTTCTACTCCGATTCAGCGCTTCCGTTTCGAAAGCGTAATTCGCTCTCCCTCGTATTTCCCCCTCCGATCCGCACGTGAATCTGTAATTGTCGAGAATTCCAGGTTGCAGCGGGCAATCGTACCAGACAGAGAGATTCAGATCGTTCAAAGTATACTTGAAGAGACGATAATCAATCGTCGTCGTTTTGGTTTCGATTTTAGGGCAGTAATCAGTTCGGAGATCCGATCTTGCGATTGTCATTGTATGTTTGGATCGGCTGATGTTGAGAACGTGAAACTCTATAGAGCTGATTTCCATCGTGGTGGTTCTGTTGTCTTTGCAATTGAGCTCGAATTCTCGCCGCCCGCAAAATACCGGCCGTTCATTCCCCCAGAACGGATACGTGATGTTTACAAAATCTCCGCAGTTGTAATAGACATCGCAAGCTTTAAATTCATCGACTGTGCCGTCGCCGAAACATAGCGGAAGATCATACCACACGATTGTGAAGAAGAAGAAGAGGAAGAGAGGGAGGGAAGGTGTCATTTCCGTGACGCTGGACCAAAAATGGAAGGAAAGGAAAAGGGAACATTGGTAATATAACGCAAGAGTCATCTTCAAATTCAAAAGAAAGCAAGAGCTAAAAGATCATAATCAAAAGAAAGACGACTGCTATATTATGTAACTACAGTTGCTTTCCTGCTTGCATCCAATTATACAGCCTTGAATTAGTCAATAGTAGACTTCCAAGGAAAAAATGATATTCAAATCTAAAAGTCTCCCATCAATTGGATTGGTTTGTTTGTGGTGGTTTGTGGTTCGGTTAAGAGTTTCAAGATAAGATCAAGCCCGATCAAACACTCCTTATAAGAGTATGGAAACCTCTCTATTTCAAAATCAACCGAGAGGCTGATGGAGATACATAACGGGCTAAAGCTGATAATATGTATCAGAATCGGTCACGACTATGAGATCACACATCGGTTGAATAGGAAAATGAAACAAACATTTTTTTTTTATAATGGTGTGGAAACCACATGAGATCTAAGGTCAGTCAGACCATGAGATCTCACGGTTGGAAAGAGGAACGAAATATTCCGTTTTGGGTAAAAATCTTAATGACTAAATCCAGATCCACAACTAACTAATATTATCTCTTTGAGTTTTCTCTCTCGAGCTTCCCCTCAAGGCTTTAAAACACGTCTTCTAGGTGAAGGTTTCCTCGTCCTTATAAATGGTGTAGTTTGTTCTCCTTCCTCTCCAACCAACGTGAAATCAATATATTTCTTTCCATTACTTCGATTTTGAGCTAGGAGACAGTGGATGGAGAATGACAACACGAGCTTTACATTCAATCTCAAATATGTACACATCTGATTCACCTAAAAAGGCTTAACAAAGCTGACGAAAATGGCAGAGCTATAGAGTTTGACACATATTATAACCATGAAACCACAGAAAAGATCAAACTCAGCCACTGCAATTCGGGGTTGAAGATTTGCTCATCCAAGGGACCACAACGGAATCTGGAGATTCCGGCACTAACTCACCCTTCACCACCACATCCTCCTCTCCTGAAACGTTTATTTCTTCTGTCTTTCCTTGCCCACTATGCTGACTCTCTATGTTCTTAAGAATTTCCAACGCCTCCGACATTGTCGGCCTTGTGTCTTTCACACTCTGCAAGCATTGAAATGCCAACTCTGCAACTCCACATATCATGTCTCTCACTCTTTCATCCGTTTCAAATCCAAGACATGGATCCACAAACTCATGCAACTCGTCGCCCCCAATCTTATTGATTGCCATTGTCCACAAGTTTATCTCATGCCTATGCCTAGTGATATCAACTGCAGGCTTCGAAGATATCAGCTCAACCAACACGACTCCAAAGCTAAACACGTCGCTTTTAATCGTAAGTTGATAGCATTCGTGATACTCCGGATCTAAGTAGCCAGGAGTTCCCTGTGGTGCAGTTGAAACATGGCTGGCTTGTGTAGGAAAAAGCCGAGATAGTCCGAAATCGGCGACTTTAACACCGAAGTTGCTGTCGAGGAGAATGTTGGTAGTTTTAACATCACGGTGGATAGTCTCAGAGGCATGGAGAAAAGCCAGAGCACTTGCAGTCTCTATGGCAATCTTCAACCTTGTATGCCATGGAAGCTCACCGGGTTTTGCTCGTTCGCCGTGAAGATGATCGGCAACAGTACCGTTTGGGATGAATTCATAAACCAGCAGAAGTTCACGGCAGTGTCGAGAGGTACATCCATAAAGGGTGACAAGATGTGGGTGGCGCAAACGAGTAAGGATCTCAACTTCATTCATGAAATGCTCAACTCTTCTGTAGTTATTTTCAAACAATCGTTTAACAGCGACCTCACGCCCATCGGGAAGTTTGCCTATCAAATGAATTCAAACATCATACACTACGTATGCTTGGATTAAAGACTGAAAACTATTGAGTGATCTTTACCGTAGTAGACAGTGCCACAGCCGCCATCTCCAAGTTCTTTGGCCGGATTAAACCTGTCGGTGGCCTTTTCAAGCTCTTCGTAAGAGAACAAAGGCACACCCATGTAATCTTCTCCCGTCTCAAGCTCCTTCGCAGGAAGATTACTAGAATTGTTTCGTAGGAGAAAGGAGGAAGGAGTATAAGTACGAGCAAGCTTCTTTTTGTGCAAACGAAACCAGATGAAAAAGGCTACGCTCATCATCATTACGCCGCCAAAACCACAGCTAAAACCTGCCATTTGCTACTTAAGTTAGCTCAATTTCCGATCATAAGAGAATAATTTGTGCAATCTGAAATCAGGGTCTTGTTTTTTTACCTATGACGTACTTCTTCCAAACATCATTGTCTCCTGCCATGGCAAGCAAATCGTTAGGAAAGATTGTTTACCAAAAGAAAGAGAAAAACAGAGCTAAGATTCGAGCAAGAGCAAGATTTATTTCCTAGAAAGTTACCCTGTTTGCAGGTTTGTAGATGAGGTCCATCAGGACAAAAGCAAACAAACTCGTTGCTTTCAAACCCACATCGCCCACCACTTGTCTCACAATTGCTACAATTTTGGGCACTCCAATTTAAAGTGAAACCCATCTTCAAGACATCGGAATAACTCTTCCTCAACAACCCAGAAAAATCATCGTCCTGATTAGGAATGTCTATAGGCACCTCTACCGAGGATTGACAAGAATCGACAGAGAAGTTCATATGCTCCATAAATCCATCATGGAAAGCGGCAAAAGAATGGAGTTTGGTTGTGTTTGAACAATGAATTGGGTAGCTAAACTTGGGAGGAAGAGAAGTGCAGTTGTAAAAGAAGAAGAAGCCAATATGATCCGGAGTGTAAGTGAATGGGGTTCGGTGGAGGGTGAAGTTATGAAGAGGAGTAGGACATTTGACGTCGTAAACCGCAGCATTTGCCACCAGAAAAGAGTGGGCTTGATAGGAGATTTCTCTGATGATATAATCCTCTCCTGAAATTTTGATAACTGGGTATTCATGTCTGCAGGTGATATCAAAGGTAGGGAGTCCACAGAAGGGGCTGTGCGAATGAGCTACCCGGAAAGGGTAGCTGATATTCGGACCTTTCCCACAGGATTTTGGAGCACAAGCTTCAAACTTCTCGTCTGAGGACAGAGTTTGGGGAGTTAAGATGATGAAGAAGATGATAAAAAGAAAAGGGGTTCTCTTGAAATCCATTAATGGGAGGAATGAAGAAGAAGAAGAAGAAACACAGTGTGTTTGGTGGGTTAACTGGGAATGATCATAACATTACTTTTCAAGAACTTTGTGGCATAAGAATTTAAGATGGCTTCCAAAATTGGATGAAAATGTAATGGAAAAAGAAAAGTTCCTTTTGAACGTGGGCGGGGCTTCACTTTCTTCACTTCCCACAAGGATTTGTGAGGCTTTTTGTGTTTGGCAATGCTAACAAAAATGGTCAACTTGGTCGGCAAAATATGATCATGAAAGGTCGGTCATATATCACCACTACCTTTAAAAACTAGAAGTTTGTTTGGAGTGCATGCTTCAAAGTATGTTCTTCAAACCTAATTTGTCCAAGTTTGGACTCCTAATACCATAATTTTTTTTTTTAGTATTGAAACCACTCAACTCATTGCCACTAGATATTGTCATATTGAGACTTTTTCCTTCGAACTTTCCCTTACGATTTTTAAAACCTCGGCTAGGAATCCTTTTCGAGTTTCCCCTCAAGACTTTTAAAAAATGTATGCTATAGAGAGGTTTCTATACCCTTATAAAGAATGTTCGTTCTCTTCACCAATCGATGTGGGATCTTCTATACCCTTGTAAATAATGTTTCGTTCTCTCTTCACCAATCGATGTGGAAGCATCTTCTATACCCATGTAAAGAATGTTTCGTTCTCTCTTCACCAATCAATCTGGGATCTTCTATACCTTTGTAAAGAACGTTTCGTTTATGACTCTCTACAATGGTATGATATTGTCCACTTCTATACCCTTGTAAAGAATGTTTCGTTCACGACTCTACACAATGGTATGATATCGTCCACTTTGAACATAAGCTCTCATGGCTTTGCTTTGGGCTTCCCAAAAGGTCTCGTACTAATGAAGATAATATTATTTGATTATGAACCCAGGATCATTCCTTAAATTAGCCGATGTGAGACTTTCATCATCCAACACTCACAAGTATAATGGTAGGTGAAGATCAAGATTTAAACTACTAATATTTCAATCGATGATTTGATCTCGAACCCAATTGAGATATATTTAAGTTTCATATCTTATTTTGTTAAATTATACTTGCTTCCAAATCTTATATTATGATTCTTGTTAATAGTAGTGTATTATTATTATTATTATATTACTATTATTATGGTGTGCAAGATTTGTTGACTTTATAGGGTCAAAACTAGAGATTTCTTCCTTCCACAACACGTGTAGCTGTTGACACGTTCCAACGATGGTAGCCTTAAGTTTTGACGGCGGGGCCCACTTTTTAGCCCCAATTTCACTGGCTAGCCAATGTCATCACGACTTTGACTAGTCAGTGCACTGACTTTTACACAACTATTGCCTATCAATTACCAACTTTCTCCCTCCCCTCAAACTCTCCCAATCTAAAATAAAAATAAATTAAAAATTATCGAACATATTCTTTATTAAAATGATACAAGAAAATTAATAGGAATAAAATTAAATTGATTTATTCAATTGAAATAAAATGTGAAATTGATCTTAATTGTTTATGCATTTTTACTCAAATTTACCATATAATTTAAACTTATATTTACCTAAATTATAATATTTGGAGAGTATTAAAAATTCAAATGAACAGAAGATTTGATGCAATGGAAGATGAAGTACGTACCAGGAGGAGGAGGAGACTTGCAAACGTAAGGATGGATGTCTCCATCGCTACAAATGCAGTAAAACTCATGGGTGGCGTTCCCTCCACACTTGCCGCCGTATACCTTGCACCCCTCGCACGCCACCGTGTAGAAATCCCCGTATTCCACATCAAACCCTCTTTTCACACCCTGCTCCACCGCCATCGTTCTGTTCTTGTGTGTTTCTTCGAATACCTCTTTTGTAATTGTCACTTCGATGTTCAGTCTACACTCGCTCATGTTTCTACTCCGATTCAGCGCTTCCGTTTCGAAAGCGTAATTCGCTCTCCCTCGTATTTCCCCCTCCGATCCGCACGTGAATCTGTAATTGTCGAGAATTCCAGGTTGCAGCGGGCAATCGTACCAGACAGAGAGATTCAGATCGTTCAAAGTATACTTGAAGAGACGATAATCAATCGTCGTCGTTTTGGTTTCGATTTTAGGGCAGTAATCAGTTCGNTTCCAAAATTGGATGAAAATGTAATGGAAAAAGAAAAGTTCCTTTTGAACGTGGGCGGGGCTTCACTTTCTTCACTTCCCACAAGGATTTGTGAGGCTTTTTGTGTTTGGCAATGCTAACAAAAATGGTCAACTTGGTCGGCAAAATATGATCATGAAAGGTCGGTCATATATCACCACTACCTTTAAAAACTAGAAGTTTGTTTGGAGTGCATGCTTCAAAGTATGTTCTTCAAACCTAATTTGTCCAAGTTTGGACTCCTAATACCATAATTTTTTTTTTTAGTATTGAAACCACTCAACTCATTGCCACTAGATATTGTCATATTGAGACTTTTTCCTTCGAACTTTCCCTTACGATTTTTAAAACCTCGGCTAGGAATCCTTTTCGAGTTTCCCCTCAAGACTTTTAAAAAATGTATGCTATAGAGAGGTTTCTATACCCTTATAAAGAATGTTCGTTCTCTTCACCAATCGATGTGGGATCTTCTATACCCTTGTAAATAATGTTTCGTTCTCTCTTCACCAATCGATGTGGAAGCATCTTCTATACCCATGTAAAGAATGTTTCGTTCTCTCTTCACCAATCAATCTGGGATCTTCTATACCTTTGTAAAGAACGTTTCGTTTATGACTCTCTACAATGGTATGATATTGTCCACTTCTATACCCTTGTAAAGAATGTTTCGTTCACGACTCTACACAATGGTATGATATCGTCCACTTTGAACATAAGCTCTCATGGCTTTGCTTTGGGCTTCCCAAAAGGTCTCGTACTAATGAAGATAATATTATTTGATTATGAACCCAGGATCATTCCTTAAATTAGCCGATGTGAGACTTTCATCATCCAACACTCACAAGTATAATGGTAGGTGAAGATCAAGATTTAAACTACTAATATTTCAATCGATGATTTGATCTCGAACCCAATTGAGATATATTTAAGTTTCATATCTTATTTTGTTAAATTATACTTGCTTCCAAATCTTATATTATGATTCTTGTTAATAGTAGTGTATTATTATTATTATTATATTACTATTATTATGGTGTGCAAGATTTGTTGACTTTATAGGGTCAAAACTAGAGATTTCTTCCTTCCACAACACGTGTAGCTGTTGACACGTTCCAACGATGGTAGCCTTAAGTTTTGACGGCGGGGCCCACTTTTTAGCCCCAATTTCACTGGCTAGCCAATGTCATCACGACTTTGACTAGTCAGTGCACTGACTTTTACACAACTATTGCCTATCAATTACCAACTTTCTCCCTCCCCTCAAACTCTCCCAATCTAAAATAAAAATAAATTAAAAATTATCGAACATATTCTTTATTAAAATGATACAAGAAAATTAATAGGAATAAAATTAAATTGATTTATTCAATTGAAATAAAATGTGAAATTGATCTTAATTGTTTATGCATTTTTACTCAAATTTACCATATAATTTAAACTTATATTTACCTAAATTATAATATTTGGAGAGTATTAAAAATTCAAATGAACAGAAGATTTGATGCAATGGAAGATGAAGTACGTACCAGGAGGAGGAGGAGACTTGCAAACGTAAGGATGGATGTCTCCATCGCTACAAATGCAGTAAAACTCATGGGTGGCGTTCCCTCCACACTTGCCGCCGTATACCTTGCACCCCTCGCACGCCACCGTGTAGAAATCCCCGTATTCCACATCAAACCCTCTTTTCACACCCTGCTCCACCGCCATCGTTCTGTTCTTGTGTGTTTCTTCGAATACCTCTTTTGTAATTGTCACTTCGATGTTCAGTCTACACTCGCTCATGTTTCTACTCCGATTCAGCGCTTCCGTTTCGAAAGCGTAATTCGCTCTCCCTCGTATTTCCCCCTCCGATCCGCACGTGAATCTGTAATTGTCGAGAATTCCAGGTTGCAGCGGGCAATCGTACCAGACAGAGAGATTCAGATCGTTCAAAGTATACTTGAAGAGACGATAATCAATCGTCGTCGTTTTGGTTTCGATTTTAGGGCAGTAATCAGTTCGGAGATCCGATCTTGCGATTGTCATTGTATGTTTGGATCGGCTGATGTTGAGAACGTGAAATTCAATAGAACTGATTTCGATCGTAGTGGTTTTGTTGTGTTTGCAATTGAGCTTGAATTCACGGCGGCCGCAGAATTCCTGCCGCTCATTCCCCCAAAACGGATACGTTACGTTTACCAAATCTCCGCAGTTGTAATAGAGACTGCAAGCTTTAAATTCCTCGTGGGCGTCGTCGGCGGAACAGAGCGGAAGATCAAACCACACCACTGTGAAGAAGAAGAAGAAGAAGAAGAAGAAGAAGAGGAAGAGAGGGACGGAAGTTTTCATTTCCGTGAAGGCTCATGAACAGAGGATGGTTTTGATCTGAAATTGAATAAGAAATGGTCTCCTTATGCTGACGGTAACTACCAGGAATGTTGACTAAAAATAAAAGAAATTTGGAAAATTATGTTATTTCGCAGTGTGAAACTGATTGGGTTGACTGGAAAACTTCGGTGACGAGTAAATCCACCCCAGAAGCACCCGTGTTTTTCTTCTTAATTCATTGTTTATTTATTAATTAATTCAATTGGATCAATTTGCCAATTTAACCTCATAAATTAAAGCTTATTATTTCTAGAATGACTTTATTGGAGGAGGGAAGTTCCACGTCAGCTAATTCAGGGAAAAAATACTCCCTTCATTGATACGAGACCTCTTGGAAACAGAAAGCAAAGCCACCGGAGTTTATGCTCAAAATGGACAATATCATACCATTGCAGAGAGTCATGTTCAGATTAAAACTCAACTTTATAAAATAATAAATTTAATGAACGAACATGATGACTAGATTTGTTAATTAGAAATGTCTATTTATTTTTTATTTTTTTTATTTTTAATAATAAAGATCTGTAAATTGCATTGGTTTGTTAACTATGATTAGTTGGTTAAACATTAACGCGGTTTTGTGAGAATTATGGTACCAGAAATAAAATAGTCCAACTCGCCTTGTGGACAATATAAAATTGTTCTTGTATGATGTTAAGTGTCGGGCTTTGGTTCGTATTGGAGGTCAACAATAGAGTTGGAAAAGAAAATTTCTTCCACTTGGGAAGACGAGAACTGGATGTATTTTCCATCCTTCATGTAAATTAATTATTTTTTTTACTCATTTACGCTAATTATTAAAATTAAAATTAAAATCATAATTGTTTCTCATTAACTACTCTACCAGTGCTACCTAACTAATTATTTTACTCATAGTTTAAATGTCATTGATCACAATCACATTTTAAAGGAGGACCCGCCTATTAACAAGAGCGACGATTGTAGATTGAGGGACTCTCGTTGGAGGCTGGAATGCTAAAAAGTGGTTCGAATCACCCTCCATTATTTTCCTTTGATGCCAAAAATTAAAAACTTAGAACTATATTTTTTTTTTCTACTAGACGTATCATTAGGGGAGAATAAGTTACTCAAACGCCGCCGTTTCATTTTTTATTTTTAAAATTGGCATAATTAATAATAGGGGTTCAAAGAGAGAGAATGAAATGTTATGGGCTGTTTTAGCAAGACAACTTTCTTTAATTTTGTCTTTTCTGTGAACTATATTAAGAATATAAACGGTTATATATTGAAACCGGGTCCCACTCGACTCGACCAATGTAAAAGAACCACACTCCTGTAATAACAATAACAATTATTAAAAAATTTAAAAAAGAGCTATTTGGAGAAGAAAAATAATAATAATAAACAAAAAGAAAAACTAGCCGTTGCGTCTACTGGATTCAAATCAATTGGTCGTACTTTCATTTCAGAGAGACAAAGATTACTCTCTCCTCTCTCCCGCCCCCCCCCCCCCCCCCCCC